AATTAATACATTATCAATAGATAGTGTCATTGATTACTATCTTGTAAACATTGTTTTATGATTACAGAGCTCCTAAATCTATTTGTAACTAACCGTCATGATTTTGAAATGGGAAATGTATCTGAAGTGTTTCCTGGTCATCTGTTTGGTGATGCTTCTAACTTTCTTTTCATGTTACTCTAATAAAATTCTCTAGAATTCATTTGTATCAGTAACTAGCAGCTTCTGAAAAAATAATTAAAAAATTAAAAACTAAATCATATAAGCTAGGATTATATTATAAATTTTATTAGCCAATAGTCAAAATATTGTAAAGTTTATATAAGTAATACTACTTCTATTCTAAATTAGTAATGTTCTTGACTAAACAATATATTGCATTTGCCAATAACAGTTTATATATATATTTTTATAGTGATATGTGTGCTAAAATAGTTAGATCTTTTTAGTAGTTATACTCTGTTATACTAATCCTAGTAAATAGGCCTATTATTAGTAGGCGGATAAGTTTAGTAAATAAATTTTCTTTCTGTGACATCCTCTCAACAAAAGAACTTAGGAAGTAATTGGTAATAGGAGCATTATTATCTTCTTTGAATATAACTAAATACATTGAAAAAATTTTGAAAAACAAAAAATAGATTTATTGTTGCCATTTGGCTACAGAGCCTGAAAGTAACCTCTGTTGCAATATGATGCCATATGGCAACAAACCATTTTCGATCTAAATAAGTATGTAAATCATATTACATGATACATATGATAGAATATACACAATTTAGAATAGTTTTGAATTATCATTATATTTTTTTTATAGTGAAGTAAGAAGTATTTTATGAAAAAAAAAATTATAAAAAAATACCAACCTTCATGGTGATCAGCTGGCCCACATTCTCACGAAAATGAAATCGGAAATGGAACAAAAATGTTTCTGCTAAAAAGAGTTCGCATTTATTTTGTAAGGGAGATTATAATAAAGGGATGAAACACTATAGTTAATGTGTATGTGTAAAATTAAACATTTGTGGTTGTTCAAAATGGTACGTTGCCATATGGCTACAGTATGCAATATAGGGTTAATGAAATTTTAGAATGGAATACACACAATTTTCTCTACAGTTGAGTGATATTGTAATACACACATCACTTCAGTAAAGCTTTACATTGTTCAATGATATACAACAAGATACTGAGGACGTCTGACAGGATTTCACGGCTACTTGATTGAATGTATTCCACTGTGCTTTCATCAGATCAAACTTCTAGTTGAAGGAAAGCTAACACTGACTATGTACAGGCAGAGCAACACAATCTTTACAAAATAAACACACCTGTCTGACAAACCACTATTTCCAACATCATGTTTGCTAATAGGTCACCACAGGTCAAAACTGACCACATACACAGCAGGTTGAAAATCTGGCCACATATGCAGCAGATGAAAACTGACCATACAAGTCAGATGACTCACTAGGGGTGTATCAGATCAAAACAGAGCACATTTGAAAGTGACCACAGATGGCAAACTCAATCCTACGGTTTTGAAGAAAGATATGTTAAACAAACAGCAACATCTAGAATTAGTAGAATAGAAAATGTTTTTTTCTTTGTAATGAATGAGCTGCACCAGGAGGAAAGGTGAACCAGAGGAAGAACAAACAGCCAGAGTTTGTTGGATGGATCCAACACAATTTTGTTGGATGTGTCCAACACAATCTTGTTGGATGTGTCCAACACAATCTTGCTGGATGGGTCCAACACAATCTTGTTGGATGGGTCCAACACAATCTTGTTGGAAGGGTCCAACACAATCTTGTTGGATGGGTCCAACACAATCTTGTTGGAAGGGTCCAACACAATCTTGTTGAATGGGTCCAACACAATCTTGTTGGATGGGTCCAACAAAATCTTGTTGGATGGGTCCAACACAATCTTGCTGGATGGGTCCAACACAATCTTGTTGAATGGGTCCAACACAATCTTGTTGGATGGGTCCAACACAATCTTGTTGGATGGGTCCAACACAATCTTGTTGGATGGGCCCAACACAATCTTGTTGATTAGTACAACACAATCTTATTTTCATTGTTTGGAATGTAGCAGCATGACCTGCACATGTTTGTCTTAAATGGGAGAAGCAATTCGTAGTTGATTGGAAAGAGAATGTTGCCACGTAGATATACGTTTTTTAAAATAGCTGTTTATGTTCGTGCATCTGATAGAATGAACAGCTATACAGGTAATAAATTCAGCAAATATTTGAGGTTAATGAGCAGTGAATATGTATATACATATTTTTAAAGATTATTTATGTGCATACATATAACATACAAATTACACATCCACCAGAATTCTGAAAAGAAAGTGACATAATGCAAACACTTTAATTTATTTTAAAAACTAAAAATTTCTAAAGTTTGTTGATGATGTGGCATTTCAATTTGGTAATAATTTAGCACATAAAGGATTAAGTTCCAGACGGTTGTTTTCAACTGCAGTATTGGCAGCAAAGTAAGCATATTTTATTTAAATTTTGTAGTCTCTTTCCTTGACAAAATTACTGGCTGAAATGAGTAGGAAAGGTATTTAAACATGGGTATAGCAGCAAATATTTCACTAGGAGAAAAAAAAAGAGCTAACTTTTTTTTTGCTCTGAATTGCACATAAATATTTTGTGTTCAAATGAATTAAAAACATATAAAGTAAAGATTATACACTAGGTTATATAAACAAAAAGTTGTGTTTTTTTTTTTTAAATATCCTTCACTGTACTGGATTCTTATAATTTCTCTTCAAATAAAAAAAAAGGGGCTGACAGTAAAAAAATTCATAATGGTTTCCTCTTGAGCAATGTTTTTTATTGAGACCTTGGAAAAGTTTAAACAAGTGATAACCAATTTTTAATTTAACCCTTACATTTCAAAACTTAAATTATCATAGGTAAAAAAAATTAATTATACATCTATGAATATTTAACATAAAAAGAACAAAATGCCCATAACAAGATAACAGAAGGGCAGTTAAAAAAAATATTAATTTATAAAAATTAAAACAATCAATGTTGCTTTAATTAGCTCTTGTTAACTAATATGTTTATTGTTTTTGTTTTACATTTAATAAAAAATATTTCACAAGATAATTTTTTAAAAGATTTACAAAATACATCTGTTTACTGTGACTTTTTACATGAATTCTTCAATATTCTAGTTGAACTGAGTAATGTGTTTCCCCAACATTTAAAATCAATATTTAATTACATAAATCCACACATATTGATCCTACACAGTGGGCTAGAATACAGAAAAACAACAACTATGAGTGAATCTTGGAAGCATAATGTTTACATTTTAATAAAATGATAAAAAATTTAAACAACCCAATTTGTTTTTAACAAGCTTTTAGATGAAAACAACAGCAAATCATGCAGATTAATAAATTAGTTTGGGTTAAACATTTATGTAGGTTTTATAACAGCAGAACTCTTCTTTTTGTTTTTATGTGAGATGTATAGCCTATGTACTAACTACTAAATTAGGGAATGTTGCCTTGGGATCATTGTAAACACCTTTTAGAATATGTTTATCTAAATACAATGCTGTATACTTTACTAAAAGGATTGAATAAATTTGAACGTCTAGTGCAAATATATATTTATAAAATCTAGACCTGTGCAAGCTGATAAAATGCATTATCTGTTTAACTCAAATGAAAGTAAGCAGCAAAAGAATAATCAAAAACCAAATTAACACATTAACAGTTATAAATTACAGATAAAGTATTGAAACATTAGGCTATCTTGAACTTATGCAGATTTGCTTTAGGGCAAGGAAGGTGCCATTTCCAATTATAAAGTAATATTGGTCAATATAAGGTTAATGAACTTGCCATCTGGTGAACAGCTATGATATTAAAATAGCTAATCAAACAGTAAAGTAACAGTATCAAGAAATAAACAATATCACAAGAAATTTTTTTACTTAGTTCTCTTGGGTCTTTGCCCCTTTTTTAAAATATCATTAAAGTTTCCTTTAACCAAAGCCCAAAATAAAACAACATAATAAGTGTGTATACCACTAAGACAAAAACCATTAACCATTAGACAACATTTGATAATAAGAATAAATATTCAGATGCCCCTAAAGAAAACAAAAAAAAAAGGTATTTTTAAATGAGCGCAACGAAAAATAAATTCAAGCCACAAATCTTTTCTACATACCATATATATATGATACAGCAATGATAGTCAACAAAATAAAACTCAATAAATTAATTGCAAGCTCATTTATAATTTATCAAAATAGTCTAGTGAATAAGAGAAAAGTTTGCTGTATCATCCCAACATTTTATCACAAGTTAGTATCCCTGCAAACATTGAATATCACTGGGAGAAATGTGATGAAAGGAATGAAAGTCATTTTAAATTTCATAGCAGTATTTTCGCATGGCAATGTCATTTTTTTCCACAGTACAAAACTATTTTTAGTTTTATTCCTACAGCAAAAAATTGTTTTTAATTATTTAACAATAAATGTAACCCAATTATTATTTTGAATATTGCTATTAATGCTATTCAAATAACATGTTAAAATAAAACATTTAATTTTTTATAAAGAACAAAAAACTAGCATTATCTACAAAATTACATTAAATTAAACATTTTTACAAACACTGCTTCACAAGGGCCTATTCTAACAATAGTGGATGATTTTCATAGTGTTTTTGTTTAAGTAGTACGTACCATAAACTTTCATAATAAAAACAGAACATTATTTTTTTTTAGAACAAAAATAATACTTTGAACAATTTCTGACTGGAGTTTTCATCCACATTCATCAGCAATCCTTACTTACATAACAAATGCATTCAGTCTTATTGTATCATATCCACACCATTCTATCCAGTGAGTTATCCACTGGTCAATCACTGATTCCGTAGGATCTTATTGGCTCGTTTGTTTGCCTCATCTACACGAACGTTCAAGGACCCACCCTGGTCAGCCGCAACAAATTAACGGGAAAAAAAGGGGAAAAAAAAAGAAAACATTAATATGAGTAAACAAAAAAATATAAATCAACACAAGATGAAATAAAACAATCTAAAAGGTTTAGACAGAAGGGGTGAAAGAGAGCAAGACAAATGAATGCCACAAGACAGATGCTAAATACTGGAAGAAAACACTGCAAGCCAATTTAAAAAACTTGATAAGTAATCAGTTTATATTCATTAAAGTATGATTAATAATATGCAATTAAAATTGTCTTCAAATGGATTAGTAAAATGTATATGGTTTATGTGAAACATAAATGAATTAATTTAAAATGAACAGATTTTATTAGTTTAAAAGTAGTGATAGAAACAATCATATTAAATCATCAATAATTTTATCTCCCAGTGACAACTGTGTGATTAACACATTACAAAATAAATACTTAAGTAAGTGTGCAATAATTATCCTTAACCACAATCTATTGTTTTTGTTCAGTGACTACCAAATATATATAGCATATGTGTGTGTTTTTATTCTTGCATGCAGTCAATAATGCAAGCACATAGCATAGCATTAGAATTAGGGTCAGTTTGCTACAAACCTGGCAAGCAGGGGTGGAATGGCTATGTCCATGAGGTCTGTGAAATTTTAAAAGGGCCGCTAATCCCTAGAATTTATTCCCATCAAATTAACTTTTACATCTTGGTATAAGTATAAGGAACGGAAATGGTAAAATGGAGAAATACCAAAATCTTATTTTTTTGAAATCAAAACACTAATAGGACTATTACTTCCACCAAGTTTTTTTTCTGGGGGCCCACCAGGATTTTTCCAGGTAGATCGGCAGGCCAGTCCACCCCTGCTAGTAAGTGGCAACAGTCAATGTTGTCCCAAGTTAATTATAAGAAGGTGTAGGTTGTTTATTAATAAAGGTTTCATAATAATTGAATTTATTATAGTATTGCAATTTTAAGTGACCTGAGAAATGTTTTGCAGAATATAAAAACACAGACATACACATTAGAAAATATTAGCTACAAATTAAATAACTATTGGGGGAAAAAGAAGCTTAGAAATGAAACCAAATACTGTGCTATAATATACTATGGAGTCAGCAAATGACTAAAATTCTATGCACTGCAGAATGATGACCTTAAAATAATTTTTGAGGTAAACTTCGTACACAGTAGAGAGAATTAAGAAAAGATCTAAACAGATGTTAAACAGTCTTGTCTGAAAAACTGACAATGTTTTATCCACTCTGTGCATTCAAACTAGACATGAGTATACAAAATTAGTCTCTGTGAGATAAAGTCAAGGTAATGTTAACACCTACCCGTTTAATTCATTGTGTAACTATCAATTAAAACAATCTTTTTTGAGACAAGTGCCTCTTGATTAGTATGAATAATTATGAATTTGCCCTGAAATTAACCACTAGCTTGACCTTTACCATAATTACAATTATGAGCATTCATATGTAAATACATTTTTCAAATTGTTAATATTAATTCTGAAAATCTTTTAAAAATTATTTTTCTTAATGTTTAAAACGATCTAGAGAATCAAATCTTTTTAATACTAAACATTACAAACAGAAATAGAGGGTAATTAGTTAAGTGAGTGTGAACAAGTTAAGCTCATGACTGCACCTAGTTCTGAAAAAAATGTAAATTATTCATAGTAAAATGAAAACATGGACTGGATCAAGATGTTGACAACATACTGGGCATATCCACTGTAGGCAAAAATCAGTGACCAAAACTTAAGGAAGCTTTATAAACTGGCAAACTAAAAATAGACAGAGGTATGTACTTAGTTGCCTTTAAAGGGAATGGAGAATTTCAAAAACTGGCCAGAATTTTAAAATTTGACCCACACTCCCAAAATAACTGACCAGAATTTAAAACTCATTGGAAATAATTTATTTGATAAAATGTCAAAGCGCTTAATTTTTAATTTTTTTATTCATGAGAGAATTGTTGCAATCATTTCAAGGATGAATAAAGACAGCCTAGGAACTGAAAAAATGGAAATAAAGATAAATAAGAAAACAAAATTCTCAAGGAAAATAAGATAACTCTAGCTAACTTAAATCTACAAAATATAAGGACGAAATCAAAAGCTATGCAGTGAAAAAACATGCTACAGGAGACACTGAAATGTAAACACAACACTTAAGTTGAAAAGAAAGTTTCCTTTGATGGACTGTGACTCAAGAGTTGATAACTCAGACCTAAGCATAATCCTCATGGAAAAGAATCACAAAATCTATCTCCCACTATACACAGTACCAAATATGAATTGACTTGAACAAAATTTACAAGACTTAAATGTTACACAAGAGGAGCTGATCCCTACTAAAACTGGATGCCATTCTATCATTCAGTAATACTAAAAACTTTTCACATTGTACAGTTGTTGGTCAAAAAATTTAAAATTTCCAACTCAAAATGTCAGAAGCAGAGCAACCATTTACAAGCTATTTGGCATTGCAGAACTGAAAGTAAATTCTAATAGACTTTTGTATAGGGCAGTGGCAGATAATCTTAAGCCTCCTTAAGAAGTTTGGTTGCCCTCTGGTTGGCAGCAGTGATGCGAACTTCATTGGACATGCCCTGAAACACACGTGGGGTGGTGGGGAAAAGTTTGGTTAGGGGCATTAGTAACAGCATGTCATAACTTAAAGCAAGCATGTTCATCTAGTTTCTTATCAAAGCATGATCAGTCCTTAATATTTAACTAAAATGTAATTTGTCAAATATATATAAAACTTAAAGTTCAAACACTAAACAAAAAGAAATACGAACTCACAAGTTTGTATTAAAAAAAATTAAGCTGATTTTTAGACATTTCACTTACAAATGTAAGAATTTATATGATTTAATTTGCAATAGTATTTAAGAAAAACATTTTTGAGTATTTCTTACAAATCTTCTCAGTTTAATTCAACATCTATAGTTTAAAAATATTTTCATGAAATGCAGATATTTTTTATTTAATGTCCTCATGATTGTGACGTATGGTAGCTGTTTTAGGCCCTGTATCATGTAAGTAATAAGCCATGATGTGGACTGTCATGAAAGCAGATGAGAGAGAGCACATGTCACACAAGGTTAATGAGTTAAGGGAGGTACATAAGCTGTGTGTCATCTCAGGTCAAGCAGTACAATGGTATTTGTGGTATTTATGGAGACCACCAGCAACCTAACTGGAGTTCATGCCTCAATTACTTCCCTTCATTTGCTGCCAAAGGCCTGATAATATGCTAGTAAACTAAATTGTAAGCCAAACTGTTTTAATCATGTTTAAATCTGAATTCTTAAATGCATAATTGTTTTTTTCTGTCTCAATTCGCAAATTCTTGTGGGACAATTGAAATTTTAATGAGATGTTAATACTTGCAATTTAAAAATGGATTAAAAATGTCCACAGAGAATCCTTTAAAAATAGTACGAGTTGTTATTTGCAACAGCTTCATGAGCTCCAGTTGATTGCCATACATTAGTGAGACAATGCTGAGAGGACAGCAAGCAACCACAAAGTTATTGTTTACACACACTTGTTTTTATGCTGGCTGTGTTGGGAAATGTTGCCCACAACCAACCAGTTCATGAAAATGCAAATTGTTGCTAAAAAGTAAAGTCGACTAGATTTTTTTTATGTTTACTGCTTTTTGGAAGAGCTTTGACAAAAAAAAAAAATTAAGAGTTTATTATTAGCAACCTTTTGTTTAAAAATAAAACTCAATCAAGAGATGCTATCTTGTGGGGCTGTCTCAAGATTAAATTTTTTGATTTCCCAGGTCCTGACCTGCTGGGGAGATAACACAAATTAGTTTTGGATGAGACACAAAAATAAAGGAGGAGTCTCACTTTCTGGTTGATGCGATCCAGCTGTCGATTCTGGGACTCAATCTCATTGCCCATGTCAACAGCCATGTTACGTAGATTACTGACCATCCCAGACACCTCACTGATGTTCTGCTCCATCTCATCTTCTCTGGCGTCATTTGTTATCCTGGAACCAGACAGGTACATTTATGTGTCAGTGTTTGACAAGACAGGTAGGTTTATATCAGCATCTGACATAACAGATTTGTGTATATTTGTGACAGACAGGTGTATATCAATGTCTGACAAGACAGGTAGGTTGATGTCAGTGTTTGACAAGACAGGTAGGTTGATGTCAGTGTTTGACAAGACAGGTAGGTTTGTGTCCCTGTGTGACAAGACAGGTAGGTTGATGTCAGTGTTTGACAAGACAGGTAGGTTGATGTCAGTGTCTGACAAGACAAGTTAGTCTGATGATAGTGTCATGTTTTGACAGATAAAAGTAACACTATGTTGTTTTCTAAACCAAAGCTTATCTTAACAACTCTAAAAACTTTTGACATCTTTACCACAGTAGCACATAGGGAGACCAGTGTTCTAAGACAATGTGTTTTAATGAAAACTTGTCCACTTTCAGCCCATTTCAACACAAAGGATTAAATAACTTGTCAACCCTAGCATGAAACATCTACCCCTACAAAATACACCTCCCTCCCTGCAACACTTTCAGGTATGATAACTACCAAGTCAACAGTAAATGAGCTTACTCAAGATGAAAAGCTTATCCAGAGCTTCCCACATCTAGGACTAAACAGAGACCTAATACAATAAACTCACTCATTAACCATTCAATTAATTAGCTCGTCTAAATACAATTACTTATAGAGAAAGGATAAAAGAAAGCATCAATATTCATGACTTGTAGCTATTAAAACATAAGAGAAATGAAATAGTTCCAGTTTCTGCTGCCAAAAGAGAATATACTTTAATAGCCTATTATTAGCAATACGGCAATGTTTAAATATGTATTATTCAGTTGAGTTGCCAAATATTTGTTCTATTCTCTAGGGCTCCCCAAACCCCCTAATGTTTGCTCTCAGGAGGTTAGGCACTGGATCTAAATGACTTACTTAGGTTGTACTTCTTGGGACCAGCACAACATGCATGTAGTAGTACAAAATCTATCAATTCCAGTACACTATGCCAGGTTACCTGACCCTAAAAACTTTCTGTTGACTTTTGTAGCATCATATCTATAATCTCATGCCACGTTTACATGTCAAACAAATAATTGCAGTAACAATGTACATTATTCATGCTATTGGTTTATTTTTTGATTCGACTACCCCATGTGGGAAAACAGAAAAATGGGGAAGACAAGTACTTGGGTTACATTTACTTTAAAGCAAGGCCACATACAGCTCGCCCTTAACCTTGCTTTTTTTAATGAGTGATGTAAAGATGTTATAAAATACGTGTGAGTACTATTTTGTAAGCATGTAGGATAAAATATGTATGTGTTTACTTCCCTCACTTTCTGACTATTAAAAATTCATGATTTCTAAGCTTACATTTTAGAAGATAGTAAAATTCAGTCATTGATGTAACTTTTAATATTTACAGATTACCCTATTTTAATTCAGCTTTGAGAAATTCTGCCACATATTATACGTCATCAGAGAAATAGTAGAATTAAAAAATATTAAAAAATGTAACATGAATAATATAACTAGTGTGAAGTCAACATTCAGAACTTGAGCTGGGGAAAACAGACAGTGACTTCATCCATCAGTCCAGCACATTATTTATAGTTAGCTCTAATGGTGTCAGTCAAATTACAGGTGCTGCCTGTCCATTACAACCAGGTTTAGAAACCTACATAGAGGACATTATGCTATCTATTACAACCAGGTTTAGAAACCTACATACGTATGACATTCTGCTGTCCACTACAACCAGGTTTAGAAACCTACATAGGACACATACATATGACATTCTGCTGTCCACTACAACCAGTTTTAGAAACCTACATAGAACACATACATATGACATTCTGCTGTCCACTACAACAAGGTTTTAAAACCTACATTTAACATTAGCACCATTTTTGTTTCTCCATCAAATACCAAGTACAAGAGCTGAGTGAAAAAAATGACCCATCTACTCCACCTAGGGTCCATTGTTTAAAACTACACCCTAGGGAATGAAGTGAGTAAATAATAAAATATTTAAAAACCTATCAGCTAAAGTAAGAGGTTCATGTTTTAATCTTGTTATAAATACCACAGTGGGTTCTGAGCATTTGACCCTAACCTGGTTATATGATTGAAACAAACTGTATTTGGTGAATTGTATTTGGAGTGAAACGTGTGTGATAGTTGAATACCTGGCCATTGGAAGTGAACGATCAATCACTGTATTTCGCATGCTTTTTGATTACTGAATGAACTGTTTTCTTTGTGGATTTGCTATTGTAAATAAAGTTATGAAATGAACCAGAGGTTTATAGTCTGTCTTTGAAGATAGAAGAACTCACAATAACATCTAGTTGTAGCAAAAACAAAAAGAGTGTTACAATAACATCCAGTAGAACCTGATCCATATCCCTAACCCTAACCTTGTTGTATGTCATCCAGTAGAACCTTAACCATATCCCTAACCCTAACCTTGTTGTATGGCATCCAGTAGAACCTCAGCCATATCCCTAACCCTAACCTTGTTGTATGACATCCAGTAGAACCTTAACCATATCCCTAACCCTAACCTTGTTGTATGACATCCAGTAGAACCTGATCCATATCCCTAACCCTAACCTTGTTGTATGACATCCAGTAGAACCTTAGCCATATCCCTAACCCTAACCTTGTTGTATGGCATCCAGTAGAACCTTAGCCATATCCCTAACCCTAGCCTAGTTGTATTGCATCCAGTAAAACATGAGCCATATCCCTAACCCTAACCTAGTTGTATGTCATCCAGTGGAACCTGATCCATATCCCTAACCCTAACCTTGTTAATATAAACTCTCACTGGACATGAACTATTGACTTTAATCCTAACCATATTCAATGACCTCCATCGGAACTTGAACCTATTCCAACCCTAACCTGTATATATATTCCCCTTAGGCCCTAAACCATAGACCCTAATCCTAACCTTGTTATATATCCTCCAGTGGGGCCGGAGCCATTGCCTTGATCCACCATTACCCTGGGACCATTTGTGTTGACTTTACCATCCTCTGAGGCCTTCCACGTTTTGTTGTAGTCAGATCCTTTCTCAAAGTTCTTGGACCTGTCAATACATCACATTCTGGCTTCAAACAACATAAACTATTTTAAAATGTATCCATTTCAATGCTTGTTTAAAAAATAAAGCATTTAAATTTGTATTATAATATTCTGAGAGCTTTAGCTCTAATGTTTATAAAATGAAAATTGTATAATAAATTTTTTTCCCCTCAGGATGGTAAGAATTTATCATATAGGCAAATGTGTTATGTAGGCCTTAAGTTGAGTTTTACTTAACATTCATCAGTGTCTATCACTCTGTGTCTATCAATATTTATGGAGCGAGTTTCTGTCAGCGAGCTGTTGCAGTAATGACAGCTACTACAGCAGGTACACAACAAGCTGCTGCAGTAGACAACAACAGGCTGTTGTAGTAGACAACAACAAGCTGTTGTAGGTACACAACAACAAGCTGTTGTAGGTACACAACAACAAGCTGTTGTAGGTACACAACAAGCTGTTGTAGGTACACAACAAGCTGTTGTAGGTACACAACAAGCTGTTGTAGGTACACAACAACAAGCTGTTGTAGGTACACAACAACAAGCTGTTGTAGGTACACAACAACAAGCTGTTGTAGGTACACAACAACAAGCTGTTGTAGGTACACAACAAGCTGTTGTAGGTACACAACAAGCTGTTGTAGGTACACAACAAGCTGTTGTAGGTACACAACAAGCTGTTGTAGGTACACAACAAGCTGTTGTAGGTACACAACAAGCTGTTGTAGGTACACAACAACAAGCTGTTGTAGGTACACAACAACAAGCTGTTGTAGGTACACAGCAACAAGCTGTTGTAGGTACACAACAACAGGCTGTTGTAGGTACACAACAACAGGCTGTTGTAGGTACACAACAACAGGCTGTTGTAGGTACACAACAACAGGCTGTTGTAGGTACACAACAACAGGCTGTTGTAGGTACACAACAACAGGCTGTTGTAGGTAGACAACAAGCTGTTGTAGTTACACAAAAACAGGCTGTTGTAGGTACACAACAAGCTGTTATAGGTAGACAACAAGCTGTTGTAGGTAGACAACAACTAGCTGTTGTAGGTACACAACAAGCTGTTGTAGGTACACAACAAGCTGTTGTAGGTACACAACAACAGGCTGTTGTAGGTAGACAACAAGCTGTTGTAGTTACACAACAACAAGCTGCTGTAGGTACACAACACCAGAGACAAACCTTTTCCACGGCAGCACACATAGACCGCAACATTTCTCTAGACCTTCGAGATTTTTCTCTGCATCCCTCATGTCCTGGTTGATCTGGTCCATGCCCTCCTCAATGCGGTCCATTTGTTCTGTAGGAGACAAACAAAGGTCACAGCTCAGTAACAGCACTAGGACTCTTTGAGTACATTCATCATAAAATATGTTAGATATGTTGTCTACAAGGTCATTGCTATGATCACTTTACATTTTAAATGTGGAGTCTAAAAGAATATTTGTAAACTAGAAAGCTAGAAAGCTGATGCCTACTACTAGAAAAGATAAAGAAAATGTTTACAGAAATGATTTTTTTGTCATTAATTAGTATACAATCGAAAGATGTAAATAAGAGATACTGCCATTACAATAAGCTAATTGTTAAAACATTTAAGCTCACAGTCAATTTATTCTGTGTTACACATTTAAAAAATAGAAAAATATTCACATTTTTATTGTTGAAATAAACTACAATTAAAAAGATACAATGTAATGTTCTGATAGAAGGATGGCACTTTTTGCAGTTCACTGGATGCCTTCCCAAACCCTTGGATGAATGACATTAAAGTTAACTCAACTTACATGGACCACATGAAGAGAGGTTAATACTCCTTTGGATGAATGAAGTAAGTAAGAGCTAAGGTAATTGCTCACTATAGAAATTGAGTAATATTTCAGTACTAAAGCAGTCTATATATTTTTTCAAGTGATTCAAACAAAGCAAAGGGACAGGTGCCAAGATTAGATATTTCTTAATGGAATGTATGTTACAACATTTGTTTCAAACATGATTTATATCAAGTTCAGCAACTTATTCTCATCTTGCTTGGTTCCCTCAAACCCACTAAAAACATTACTTATACTCAGTGGTGCCAATGATGTGGTCCAATATACATCAGGATAGACCACAGCTCACACCATGTGAGCAGGCCTGAAGGGATTATTCATGTCCATTACCAAATCTAAAATATTGAAATTGGTGATGGGAACATTTATCAAACTCTTCTATTGGCTCAGCTGACATGGTTTTCTGGTCATATTTTATACCATTTTATATTTGCCACATCAAAAGCATTGGCTAAAATCAATTTTAGACTCTTGGCAATAGCATGATCAGAGGTTCTCAATGGGGGTCTCTTGCTACATCAAAAGCTTTGGTAAAATAAGTTTTAGACTGGTAGTTAGTTAGATCAGAGGTTCTCAACGGGAGTCTCTTGTTACATCAAAAGCAATGGTAAAATAAGTTTTAGACTGGTTAGATCAGAGGTTCTCAATGGGGGTCTCTTGTTACATCAAAAGCTTTGGTAAAATAAGTTTTAGACTAGTAGTTAGTTAGATCAGAGGTTCTCAATGGGAGTCTCTTGTTACATCAAAAGCTTTGGTAAAATAAGTTTTAGACTAGTAGTTAGTTAGATCAGAGGTTCTCAATGGGAGTCTCTTGTTACATCAAAAGCTTTGGTAAAATAAGTTTTAGACTAGTAGTTAGTTAGATCAGAGGTTCTCAATGGGAGTCTCTTGTTACATCAAAAGCTTTGGTAAAATAAGTTTTTGACTGGTTAGATCAGAGGTTCTCAATGGGAGTCTCTTGTTACATCAAAAGCTTTGGTAAAATAAGTTTTTGACTGGTTAGATCAGAGGTTCTCAATGGGGGTCTCTTGTTACATCAAAAGCTTTGGTAAAATAAGTTTTAGACTGGTTAGATCAGAGGTTCTCAATGGGGGTCTCTTGTTACATCAAAAGCTTTGGTAAAATAAGTTTTAGACTAGTATTTAGTTAGATCAGGGGTTCTCAATGGGAGTCTCTTGTTACATCAAAAGCTTTGGTAAAATAAGTTTTAGACTGGTTAGATCAGGGGTTCTCAATGGGAGTCTCTTGTTACATCAAAAGCTTTGGTAAAATAAGTTTTAGACTGGTAGTTAGTTAGATCAGAGGTTCTCAATGGGAGGCTCTTGTTACATCAAAAGCTTTGGTAAAATAAGTTTTAGACTAGTAGTTAGTTAGATCAGAGGTTCTCAATGGGAGTCTCTTGTTACATCAAAAGCTTTGGTAAAATAAGTTTTAGACTGGTTAGATCAGAGGTTCTCAATGGGGGTCTCTTGTTACATCAAAAGCTTTGGTAAAATAAGTTTTAGACTAGTATTTAGTTAGATCAGAGGTTCTCAATGGGGGTCTCTTGTTACATCAAAAGCTTTGGTAAAATAAGTTTTAGACTAGTAGTTAGTTAGATCAGAGGTTCTCAATGGGGGTCTCTTGTTACATCAAAAGCTTTGGTAAAATAAGTTTTAGACTGGTTAGATCAGGGGTTCTCAATGGGAGTCTCTTGTTACATCAAAAGCTTTGGTAAAATAAGTTTTAGACTAGTATTTAGTTAGATCAGAGGTTCTCAATGGGAGTCTCTTGTTACATCAAAAGCTTTGGTAAAATAAGTTTTAGACTAGTATTTAGTTAGATCAGAGGTTCTCAATGGAAGTCTCTCAGACTGTCTAGATCTTTAGTTAAAATTATTGAAAAAGTCTCAAGAGATTTGTTTTTTGTAATAAAATGGAATACGTTTCAAACATCTTTACAATTACAACAAGTAGAATCCAAATTGCTGAATGAAGACCCCTGCCCCACCCTCCATAGCCCACCCCAGTCCAGCCAAAAGCATTCTTACATTTGAGCCAGTCTATTTTTCTTATTGGATGTGAGCTGGGTAATTGGGTTTCTGCTCAGTGTCAGAGACCTATCAGGCAAATATTTCCTGTGGCAAACAATCAAATGGCACCTCTCTGTTCAAACATCTGGATCAATACCCAGAAATTTCCTGCCCCTGCTTTAGCACTGCAACCCAATACTGTGGGCTTGTACAGTGTTTCAGCTGGGTTATTTAGTGGACAATAAGAGTATCACTAAAACACCATACTATATTGTCACTGTGGCTAAATGTTATGCTGATTCTCATTTCTGCACCACTCATTAGCAACAGCATGTTGGAGGATTTTTTTGTATACAACTATATCAGTACAGTGTGCACTATGACAGCCCATATCTGTACAGTGAGCACTAGGACAGCCCATATCAGTAGTGAGCACTAGGACAGCCCATATCAGTACAGTGAGCACTAGGACAGCCCATATCAGTAGTGAGCACTAGGACAGCCCATATCAGTAGTGAGCACTAGGACAGCCCATACCAGTACAGTGAGCACTAGGACAGCCCATATCAGTACAGTGAGCACTAGGACAGCCCATATTAGTACAGTGAGCACTAGGACAGCCCATATATGTACAGTGAGAAATAGGACAGCCCATATCAGTACAGTGAGCACTAGGACAGCCCATATCAGTACAGTGAGAAATAGGACAGCCCATATTAGTACAGTGAGCACTAGGACAGCCATTATATGTACAGTGAGAAATAGGACAGCCCATATCAGTACAGTGAGCACTAGCACAGCCCATATCAGTACAGTGAGCACTAGGACAGCCCATATCTGTACAGTGAGCACTAGGACAGCCCATATCAGTACAGTGAGCACTAGGACAGCCCATATCTGTACAGTGAGCACTAGGACAGCCCATTTCAGTACAGTAAGCATTAGGACAGCCCATATCAGTACAGTGAGCACTAGGACAGCCCATATCTGTACAGTGAGCACTAGGACAGCCCATATCAGTACAGTGAGCACTAGGACAGCCCATATCAGTACAGTGAGCACTAGGACAGCCCATATCTGAGCACTAGGACAGCCCATATCTGTACAGTGAGCACTAGTACAGCCCATATCTGAGCACTAGGACAGCCCATATCTGTACAGTGAGCACTACGACAGCCCATATCAGTACAGTGAGCACTAGGACAGCCCATATCTGAGCACTAGGACAGCCCATATCTGTACAGTGAGCACTAGGACAGCCCATATCTGTACAGTGAGCACTAGGACAGCCCATATCTGAGCACTAGGACAGCCCATATCTGTACAGTGAGCACTAGCACAGCCCATATCAGTACAGTGAGCACTAGGACAGCCCATATCTGTACAGTGAGCACTAGGACAGCCCATATCTGAGCACTAGGACAGCCCATATCTGAGCACTAGGACAGCCCATATCTGTACAGTGAGCACTATGACAGCCCATATCAGTACAGTGAGCACTAGGACAGCCCATATCTGTACAGTGAGCACTAGGACAGCCCATATCTGAGCACTAGGACAGCCCATATCTGTACAGTGAGCACTAGCACAGCCCATATCAGTACAGTGAGCACTAGGACAGCCCATATCTGTACAGTGAGCACTAGGACAGCCTGTACCGTACTGTGTCAGAGCCTGTACCGTAGTGGGTCAGCACAACGCAGAATGTGACACCGTTTGTACGAGAAGTGGCGCTGCATAAAGACGCGATAATTGCGCTGGTAGGGCAAACAAAGCACGGGCCTACCATAGAAATATGGTGCCAATTACGCAGGCAAGCACCGTCAAAAGTCGAACGCCACCATCCGCTAATCATTATTTGTTTTGTTGATTGCCGCGTCCCAAATGAATCGGAAGTAAAACAAAAGATGTTAAAACATAGTAGGGGAACAAAGGCGCTAACCTGTGGTGGGTAAACTGGGAGAAACCAATGGGAGGTGGTGATGTTAGCATAGCGATAGGTGGGGGAGTGGGGGTGACGAAAGATGGAGGTAGTGTGGGGAGTGACATCTGTTATAAGAGGGGAGGGGGCAGTTGAGGTGAAGAGAGTGGGAATGAAGGAAGGGACAAAAAAGGTAGGAGGGAGCAAGAAGAAGCGGGTAGCTAAGGCTTGGGGTGGGGGGGAGGAGGCGGAGATAATTAATGGAAAGGAGGAAGTGAGATGATAGCTAGAAGAATAGTGTTTAAATACAGCAAGGGGGCGGGAAATTATGTTTTAAATGCTCTGTTTGCGTTGATCGGGGTCACTTTGGTTAAAGAGTAAAACAAGACTCTGTTTTTGTATCATTGTTACACCACAAAGCGCAAGGCTTTTTAAAATATTATATAAACACAATTTATAGACATAAAGTATACAAAAATAAATACTTTACAAAAAAAATACAGGACAAAACTGTTTTATTTCCTTCCTTAAAAATT